AAACGATCCTCCCACCACAGCCTCCTGAGCATCTGGGACTACAGGCACACACTATCACTCCTGTTTTGGTGTTTTTTTTTTTTTTTTTTTGGTAAAGACAGGGGTCTTTTTATGTTGCTCAGGCTGGCTTTGAACTCCTAGGCTTAAGCGATCCTCCTGCGTCAGCCTCCCAAAGTGCTGAGATTACAGGTGTGAGCCACTGCACTGGGCCTGCATATATGCTATTTTGTCCATTTACCGGCACTTTTATTTTGGGATGAATAATAGTTTTGAACCATGAGATGGTTTGACAACTTTATATCCCTTTAAAAACGTTTTTTTTTTTTTTTTTTTTTTTTTTTTTTTTTTTTTTTTTTTTTTTTTGAGACATAGTCTCACTCTGTCACCAGGCTGGAGTGCAGTGGCACGATCTTGGCTCACTGCAACCTCCACCTCCTGGGTTCAAGCAATTCTCCGGCCTCAGCCTCCTGAGTAGCTGGGACTACAGGTGCCCACCATTGTGCCTGGCTAATTTTTGTATTTTTAGTAAAGACAGGTTTCACCATGTTGGCGAGGCTGGTCTCTATCTCTTGACCTCGTGATCCTCCTGCCTTGGCCTCCCAAAGTGTAAAAACGTTTTTTAAAAAAAATCATCCTTGGTGTTGGCTGAAAAAAAAAAAAAAGATAAATAAATGTTTTTAAAGTATTTCCATTTGTTTTTATTTAAAATTTTTTTGAATTAATTTTAAGATAGCAAAAGTTTTTCTTTGCATTTGGCAGTGGGTTTTTTAAACCTTAAATTTCAAAATCATGTTGGGTTTCCAAGTGAATTGCCTGAAAACGGTTTGGTTGCAATAATGATTTCCACACATTGGTTTGTGAATTAATAGAGTTTTTGCACCCTGGCTGGTTTCTTTTTACAAATTTACACTCCCTTGAAAGCAATTTTGACCCATTTGTCCCGTATTTTGTTTTTAAAAATTCTTGAATTCCTTTTCTCTCACAGATACCAACTTCATTACTCATCTGTTCCCAGGATCGGTCAAAGGCCCAGCAGCGACCGGATTTCACTGGTTTCTCCCCACAACTTTCCCTGCCTGGTTCTAAGTATTTTCCACTTTTACAGATAAAGACAATTGGGGCAAAAACTCATCAAGGTTATAGACTTGTACCTGCTCTGTTCATAAGTCTGCCATCTCCCATCAGTTTCTTTAACCACGATATAGTCCTTCATACTTTCACTGCTGTATTATATTTTCTTTTTCTTTTTCTGAGATGGAGTCTTGCTCTACCCCCCAGGCTGCAGTGCAGTGGCACGGTCTCAGCTCAGTTGCAACTTCGGCTTTCTGTGTTCAAGCAATTCTCCTGTCTCAGCCTCCTGAGTAGCTGGGACTACAGGCACGCACCACCATGCCCAGCTAATTTTTGTATTTTTAGTAAAGACAGGGTTTCACCATGTTGGCCAGGATGGTCTCGAACTCTTGACCTCATGATCCGCTTGTCTCGGTCTCCCAGAGTGGTGGGATTACAGAAGTGAGCCACCGTGCCGGCCACTTTCATTGCTTTTATTATTATTATTATTATTTATTTATTTATTTTGCCCTGCTCCCCTTTAATTGCTTTTTAATCATTATTTTCGAATGTAAGTGGCTTGGATAAAACCATCTTTAGAAAGAAAAAATGCAGGCCAGGAGTGGTGGCTTACACCTGTAATCCCAGTACTTTGGGAGGCTGAGGTGGGAGCATCTCTTGAGCCCGGGAGTTTGAGATCATCCTGGGCAACTTAGTGAGGCCCCATCTCTACACAAATAATTAATAATAAAAAGTAGCCAGGTATGATGGCACATGCCTGTAGCCCACCTACTCAGGAGGCTGAGGCAGGAGAATCATTTAAAGCCACGGGTTCAGGAACAGCCTGGGCAACAGAGCAAGAGCCCCCTCTCTTAAATTTTTTTTTTGGGGGGGGCAGCCTCTCTTCTCTGTTGCCAGGCTGGAGTGCAGTGGCAAAATCTCGGCTCACTGCAACCTCTGCCTCTCAGGTTCAAGGGATCATCCTGCCTCAGCCTACCTAGTAGCTGAGATTACAGGCAGCCGCCACCATGCCTGGCTAATTTTTGTATTTTTAGTAGAGAAGGGGTTTCACCATGTTGGCCACGCTGGCCTCGAACGCCTGACCTTGTGATCCACCGACTTAATCTCCCAAAGCGCTGGGATCATAGGAGTGAGCCACAGTACCCGGCTGTTTTTTCTTTCCTTTTTCCAACGACAAACAGAAGGAAGAAATACCAAGCTCCAGTAAGTATACAGGCATATTCTTTTGGTGTAGTTTTTGGCAAAAAAAAAAAAAAAAAAGGAAGATTTGAAACAAAATGAAGTTTTAACTTAGGAACATGAAATAAAAAAGATTTTGGTCCTGATAATTTCTCCGTGGTTTGGCCTCCAGCAACGCAGGCATGACGGGACCTGCACAGAGCGAGCTCCTGGGGGTGGCGTGACGTTGCTGTCACTGGGGAACCGGCCTCGCAGGCCCGGGGGACAAGCGAGTCCCTGGGAACTCTCCACCCACTCGCGCGGGGCGCCCGGGCGCGCCCCGGTGTCTGCTGCCCCCGCGCGGCCGTGCTGGAGTCCTGCGGCCTCAGAGGGCGCACCGGAGAGCCGATGCGCACCCGGGCTGCTTCCTGCTCGTCCTCTGACCCTGGGTCCTGGGGCGGAGAAGGGCAGAGGCCAGTGAATGGCGCCCCCCGGCGTTGTGCAAGGCAGAGGCTACTGATAACTTGAGTTTCTCGCCTGCCTGCTACCCTGCAAAGTGAAACTCCAAGGCCACACAGAGCAATAGTGCACGGATGGCCTTGAACCTGGTGCTGAGTAAGAAAGAGAAGGGCGCGGGCGGGCGGGAAGCTCTGGACTGAGGGTTCAAGGCTCCCAGTGATTGATCTACTTTGGAGGCTCCTCCCACAGACGGTCCTGCTGCCTTCAGGTGCAACCTGGTGGGTAAGGCCTTTATTCATTTCTTTCTTTTTCTTGGGCAGGATCCTACTTTGACACCCAGGCTGGAGTGCAGTGGCGCAGTCACGGCTCGCTGCGGACTCAACCTCATGGGTTCAAGCGATCCTTCTGCCTCAGCCTCCGGAGTAGCCGACACTACAGGCATGTGCCACCATGCCCCGCTAATTTTTGAATTTTTTTTGCAAAGATGGGGTCTTACTATATTGCCCAGGCTGCCTTTATCCTCAAACCTACTCCTCTCTTCCCCGCCCCCACTTGGTGGGCAGCGCTACCATCTGCCCGTCACTCGAGTCTTCTGAGGTGGCGGGGGTATCGCTGGCCCCTGTCTCGCTTTACCTCTTTTCCTGTTCATTCCTCTGCTGGGATGCAAATCTCTATGCGTCCTTCACGTTTCTGTATGTCTTGTGAGTGAGGCACTAATGGATGGCCTTTTGCCCTGGACTTTCTTTTCCAGGATGTCTGTGTATCAGACAACCTTGAAAGATATAGGGTCTCCCTCCGGGACAAAAGGCAGCCCTGCTTACTGCTCATTAGAAAAGATTTGGGTTTCCTGGCCAGGCGTGGTGACTCATGCCTGTAATCCATCACCCCCGCCCCCCCCCAAAAAAAAAAGAAAGAAAGAAAAGAAAAAGAAAAAGAAAGTCCAGTGTAGTGGACTCACACCTGTAATCTCAGCACTTTGGGAGGCTGAGGCAGGTGAATCACCTGAGGTCAGGAGTTCGAAACCAGCCTGGCCAACATGGAAAAATCCCCTCTCTACTAAAAATACAAAAAAAAATTAGCCAGGCATGGTGGTTGGTAGGTGCCTATAATCCCAGCTACTTGGGAGGCTGAGGCAGGAGAATCACTTGAACCTGGGAGGTGGAGGTTGTGGTGAGCCAAGATTGCACCACTGCGCTGGGTGACAGAGCAAGGCTACATCCGAAAAGAAAAGCAAAGAGAAAAGAAAATAAAAGATTTGGGTTCACTAAGCTCAGACTTCCTCTTCCTCTCTTGTAACACACCCACCTGAGGTGCTGCAGGCATCATCTGGCCTTGTCACATCACTCTACGGGATTTGGGGCTCAGGGAATGAATGCAAAATGCTTATACTCTAGTTCACTGCTATTGCCGTGAGTAACATTGTCTTTGTTCTCTGACCCTGGAGTCTCATGTCTTCTTGTGGCAGCCATGGAGCTCGGCTGGATGACTCGTTAGCAGGCAAGTGGGCAACGTCTCAGATCATCACGGGTCTGGACATCCTCCAATTCTATCTGTTGCACCGGCTACAGATTTCTGGCAGTCTTTTGTCTCCGTTCCCAGGGCCTCGGCCCTGGTCAAGCCTCCATCATTACGTGCCTGGGGTTTTTTCGTTTTGGATCTTTGGATCCTGGGGATCAGCTCTAGTTGCCTGAACTCAAACCCTGCTCATGAACACATCTGTCCTTGCCTCACTTTCTCTCTTCCTGCATGGATGCTTGCAGGGCCCGTGCCCTATATAAACTCCTTGGACTTCAATGTTTTTTTTCCTTTGCTTAGAGATAGGATCTTGCTCTGTCACCCAGGCTGGAGTGATCCTGGCTCACTGCAGTCTCTATCTTCTGGGCTCAAGTGATTCTCCCACCTTAGCCTCCTGAGTAGCTGGGATTACATGGACGCACCACCACAGCTGGCTATTTCTTTCCTTTTTTTTTTTTTTGGTAGAGATAGGGTCTTGCTATGTTGCCCATGCTGGTCTGAAACTCCTGGCCTCAAGCGATCCTCCTACCTTGGCCTCCCAAAGCCTTGGGATTACAGACATGAACTCATTCCTAGGTGGCACTTGAATTCCTGTTCCAAGATCTGGAGAAATCTGAGCCAAAGAAAGCTTTGTTTGAAGACCTTCTTGATCGTGTTGGGGTCAGACTTGGACTGAGGTTTCCAAGGACGCAGTAGAGTGGCCAGAGCCAGGTAAAGGCGGGGGTCTCTTGTGGCAACTGGGTCCCCATGGTAACTTGGTCCCCACCCTGTGGCATCTGTGAGGTCATCTTGCGTCTCCCAGCTGGAGGAGGAGGGGGAGGCCAGACATGGAGACCATTCCTCCGGTTAGATCCAGCCTTTTGGGGATTCTCTTGCAGGCTGTGAGGCTCTCAGTACTGGTGAGTGGGGGGTAGGGGTAAGTGGGGTGGACCACACTCCAGGCCCTTTAACAAAGCTACCTCAGAGCTGCCGGACCCAAGCCCTGCCTGTCCCGTCCAGTGGAACTAGGTGGGCTGCCTGCCTTCCAGAATAATCTGACAGCTCCCAGAAACCCCACCCCAAACTTCAGTGCTGAAGTTTTCTTTTATTTATTCAGAGATAGCATCTTGCTGTGTGACCCAGGCTGGAGTGCAGTGGTCATCTCAGCTCACTACAGCCTCCAACTCCCGGGCTCAAGTACTCCTCCCCACTCAGCCTCCAAGTAGCTGGGACTATAGGTGTGCCTTACCACGCCTGACTAATTTTGGTATTTTGTAGAGACCGTGTCTCACTATGATGCCCAGGCTGGTCTCCAACTCCTGGCCTCATGTGATCCTCCCACCTCAGTTTCCCAAGGTGCTGGGATTACAGGCGTGAGCCACTGCATCTGGTGAAATTTTCTCTGTTGAGGTCACTCCTATGGGTGATTCATTGTTTTTCCCTTTTTTTTTTTTTTTTTTTTTTTTGAGATGGAGTCTCACTCTTGCCCAGGCTGGAGTGCAGTGGCGTGATCTCAGCTCACTGCAACCTCCGCCTCCTGGGTTCAAGCAATTCTCCTGCCTCAGCCTCCCAAGTAGCTGGGACTACAGGTGCGTGCTACCATGACTGGCTAATTTTTGTATTTTTAGTAGAGACACAGTTTCACCATGTTTGCCATGTTGGTTTCGAACTCCTGACCTCCTGATCCGTCTGCCTCGGCCCCCCAAAGTGCTGGGATTACAGACATGAGCCACCGTGCCCCGCCTCTCATTCATTTTTTTTTTTTAAACATGCAAAAGCTTGTGGTCGGGGTCACAGCTCAGTAACACTTAGGAGGCCGAGGTGGGAGGATAGATGGAGCTGGGAGGCCAAGGCTGCAGCGAGCCACAATCGTATAACACGGTGCAGTAGAGAAAGACAGACACCGTTAGATTTGCATCTTGGCTGTTTCACTTTCTAGCTGTGTGACTTTGGGCAAATCACTTCACCATTCTGAGCCTCTGCGTCCCCTCTTATATAAATGATCTCAGCTGGTGGTGGTGGCTGAGGCCTGTAATCCCAGCACTTCGGGAGGCTGAGGTGGATAGATCACAAGGTCAAGAGATCGAGACCATCCTGACTGAGATGGTGAAACCCCGTCTTTACTAAAATTACAACAATTAGCCGGGCATGGTGGGTTCCTGTAATCCCAGCTACTCGGGAGGCTGAGATAGGAGAATCGCTTGAAACTGGGAGGCGGAGGTTACAGTGAGCTGAGATCGCAGCACTGCACTCCAGCCTGGTGACAGAGCGAGACTCCGTCTCAAAAAAGGCTCTTGCAGGATCGTGCGGGATATCATAGATTTCCCTCCTCCCTGGCCTCAGCACCGCAGCCTGGGAGGTCCTACTTCCCACCTCCACCCCAATTCTTCTTCCTGCTGTACCCCTTGGTCTCAGCATGGCTGTACCCTCCATGCCCCCAGCTCTGCAAATCCAGCGCATGAGCCGGGGGCATTTAGCCAATCTCAGATGGTGGGCGTGTGGACACCAGCATGGGGGGTCCAGGTGGGTGGACTGGTGTCACTCAAGGGCTGGGGGCTTTCCAGCTCTGATGAAGGGTCTTTCAACTCCAGGATCAAGAACAGCTTTAACCTAACCCCAGTCCTGCAGTGTCTCAGCGAATGGGAGGCACCGTTGTCCAACTGGTCACTCAGATCAGAAATCTGAAAATCTTTTTTTTTTTGAGACGGAGTCTCACTCTGTCACCCAGGCTGGAGTACAGTGGTGCGATCTTGGCTCACTGCAACCTCTACCTCCGGGGTTCAAGCGGCTGTCCTGCCTCAGCCTCCGGAGTAGGTGGAGTTACAGGCACCATCATGACGGGCTAATTATTATTATTATTATTATTTTTAGACAGGGTTTCACCATGTTGGTCAGGCTGGTCTTGAACTCCCGACCTCAGGTGATCCGCCCGCCTTGGCCTCCAAAGTGCTTGGATTACAGGCGTGAGCCACCACGCCCGGCCTTAATTATTTTTATTTGTTTTGAGATGGAGTCTCGTTCTGTGCTCTGTCGCCCAGGCTGGAGAGCAGTGGTGCCATCTCGGCTTACTGAAACCTCTGCCTCCCGGGTTCAAGCAATTTTCTGCCTCAACCTCCTGAGTAGCTGGGATTACAGGTGCCCACCACCACACCTGGCTAATTTTTGTATTTCTAGTAGAGATGGGGTTTCACCATCTTGGCCAGGGTGGTCTTGATGAACTCCTGACGTTGTGATCCACCCGCCTTGGCCTCCCAAAGTGCTGGATTACAGGCGTGAACCACTGTGCCCGGCAAGATCCTGTTTCTTAAAAAACGAAAAATCCAATGGAAGGGAACACAAATATAATATGAAACACCTCCTAAAATTCCCCCCTCAGAATGGAGTCCTTAAAAGTGGGCAGAGCTGGCTGGGCGCGGTGGCTCACGCCTGTAATCCCAGCACTTCGGGAGGCCGAGGTGAGTGGATCATGAGGTCAGGAGATCGAGACCATCCAGGCCAACATGGTGAAACCCCGTCTCTACTAAAAATACAAAAAATTAGCTGGGCATGGTGGCGCGTGCCTGTAATCCCAGCTACTCAGGAGGCTGAGGCAGGAGAATCGCCTGAACCCAGGAGGCGGAGGTTGCGGTGAGCCGAGATCGCGCCATTGCACTCCAGCCTGGGTAACAAGAGCGAAACTCCGTCTCAAAAAAGAAAAAAAAAAAAAAAAAAAAGTGGGCAGAGTTCATCCTTGCACATGGAGGGAGCTGAGGCCTTGGGGTGGGGATCTGGCTCAAGGGGGTCCAGCAGCTTCACCTTTGCAGTGAAAGTGGGGCTCCTGGCCCAGCACAGTGGCTCACGCCTGTAATCCCAACACTTTGGGAGGCCGATGCAGGCAAATCACCTGAGGTCAGGAGTTTGAACCAGCCTGGCTAACATGGAGAAAACCTCTCTCTACTAAAAATGCAAAAAAAGCCGGGCGTGGTGGCAGGTGCCTGTAATCCCAGCTACTTGGGAGGCTGAGGCAAGAAAATTGCTTAAACCTGGGAGTTGGAGGTTGCAGTGAGCTGAGATGGCGCCATTGCACTCCAGCCTCGGCAACAGAGCGAAACTCCATCTTGGAGAAAAAAAGAGAATTATTTAAAAAAAAAGTGGGATTTCTGCCCCAGGAGGGGGATGGGGGGTGACGACTGTCTCTCTCTCTCTTCTCCTGCAGTTGGTTCAGAACCGAGATCACCTCTACAATTTCCTGCTCCTCAAGATCAACCTCTTCAACCACTGGGTGTCAGGGCTGGCCCAGGAGGCCGGGGGCACCTGTAACCGGCAGGCCCACCTACCCTTGGGAGTGGCAGCCTGCCCCCTGGGCCAGGCTCTCCAGGCTGGGCTGGCTCTGATACAGGTCCCTGTCTGGCTGGTATTGCAGGGACCCAGGCTGATGTGGGCTGGCATGCGGGGTGGCACCAGGGCCCTGGGCCTGGCCTTGCTGGGTGCCTGGGAGGGGCTGGGCCTGTCTGTGGCCATCTGGACGGACCTGCTTTCGCTGTGTCTGCGTGGCCTGATACTGGTGGCCTTGCTGCTGGTGGTAGTCACCTGGAGGGTGTGTCAGAAGGCCCGCTTCTCCCAACTGGTCTGGCAGCTCAGTAAGGTGGGTGGTCTAGGGGTGCGGCTGGGCTGTGGAGGGGAGGCTTGGGGTGCTGGGTGTGGCCAGGGCTGGCTGGGCTGGGGGGCGGGCAGAGCCAAGCAGTTTGACCCTATGGGCTGGTAAGGGCCATCTGTCCACCTGTCTCCCCGTTCCAGGCCTTGCAAGTGAACTGGCTGGTGAGGGAGTTCCTGGCGCAGCTGAGATGCCTGTACTGGTGGGTGGAGACTATGATTGCACTCGCCTCCTGGCACCTGGCCTATCTCATCACCTGGACCACCTGCCTGGCCTCCCACCTGCTGCAGGCTGCCTTCGAGCACACCACCCAGCTGGCCCAGGCCCAGGACGTTGAACCCCAGGAGGCCTCGGAGTCTTCCTTGCTGTCTTCACTGTCTGGGTTCCTGGCCTCAGAGTCTGGACCAGTTTTGCCAGAGCAAGGAACTCCCAGAGAATAAATATATCTCCAGCTGCCTCTCCCGGGCTGGCCTGGCCTACGGTCTCACTCCCTCCTCCCTAATGGGCTGGAGACGCGTTGTGTGAGTGATGTGCACGTGTGTGCGTGCACGTGAGCCCAGGGCCGCCCTCTGGGAAGGAAATCACATTCTGTCAGCATCTTCTACGGGCCAGATATCAAGCATCTCAGACAATTTACTCCTAATTCGGTTTATATCTCCTAGCAACATGGCATCAGGTTTGACTAGCACCATTTACAGCCGAGAAAATTGAGCCTCCAAAGGTTGAACTTTCCCAAGGTCACAGTCCTTGGAGGGCGGAGCCAGCACTGGCTCTCTCGATTTTTTGTTTCCCAGAATCCTTAGCTTTCTCTAGGTGCTTGCCCGCAGTTCTCAGAAGTATTGGTGCCCAGGGCTTTAGGAGAGATGGGCAGTTAGAGACTTTGACCTCTGGGGGGTGCCAGGCCCTCACATTTCAGAGATTTAGAAACTTCCTTTGAGAAGCAGTTGTGAGGCAGGCTTCAGTAAGCCCGTTCATTCACGCACTTGGTCAGTCATCCGTCCACTTAACCACCCACCTCAAAGCCACCCACAGAACCATCCATCCACCTACCCACCAATCCATTCACCCACTCACCCACACATCCACCCACCATCCACCTATCCATCCACCCACACATCAGGATGTGTGTGACATCCACCCACACATCCCAGGATGGATGTCACCTGCCCATCCACCCACACATCCACCCACCCATCCATCCATCCACCCACCAGCCCACACATCCACCCACCTACCCACCCACCCACTAACCCACACATTAACCCACCCACCCACCCATCCACCCACACATCCACCCATCCATCTATCCATCCATCCACCCACCAACCCACACATTCACCCACCCACCCATCCATCATCCATCCACCCACCCACCAACCCATACATTCACCCATCCACCCACCCATCCATCATCCATCCATCATCCACCCACCCACCCACCAACCCACACATTCACCCACCCACCCATCCATCATCCATCCATCCATCCATCATCCATCCACCCACCCATCAACCCACATATTCACCCACTCACCCACCCATCCATCATCCATCCATCCATCCATCCATCATCCATCCACCCACCCATCAACCCACATATTCACCCACTCACCCACCCATCCATCATCCATCCATCCATCCCCCCACCCACCCACCCACCCATCCATCCATCATCCATCCATCCGTCCGTCCATCCATCCATCCATCCATCCACCCATTGATGCATTTACCCATCCATCCATCCACCCATCCATCCATTAACCTATCCACCCATCCATCTACCCATCCATCTATCCATCTACCCATCCACTGATCCATTTACCCCTCCATCCACTCATCACTCACCCATCCACTGATCCATTTACCCATCCACCCATCTGCCTACCCATCCACTCACCCATTTATCTACCCATTCATCAACCCATTCATGCATCCATCCATCCACCATCCACCCATCCACCCATCCACCCATCCACCCATCCACCCATCCACCCATCCACCCATCCATCCATCCATCCATCCTTCCATCCACCCATCCATCCACAGAACCAACCACACTCACCCTCCTATCTGTTGAAGAGCCATCCGTCTCCCTGGGGAAAGAGGAAACCTATCCAGCATCTCAGTGCTCCCCTAACCTGTGAGTGAGGACATAGGGTCCTGCTGCAGGGGTGGCTGATGCTGCTGTGCCAGCTCAGGCTGTGGCACTTCTGATCCCCCAGACTCAGCTTTCAGGTGAATGCTTCTTCTGAGAGGGGAAGGGATGGTTTCCTGAGTGTTTGCAATCACCTCTCACCCACTCCCAAGCCAGAGGGTGGCAATGTGAGCTTGCTCCTTCTCCACTTGGGTTCCCGTCTCAGTGAGGGCCTCCCTTACAGCCCAGGGTGGACGTGAGGTGAATGTCCAGACCCTTCCTCCAGGTCTGAGCAGCAAGGCTGTCCTGCCCTAGGAGGGACATCCGGGGGGCCCCATCTGGCTAACGAGGCAGAACACTTACCGGGAAGGACCTACAAGCGCCTGGTCAGAGGGGCGTCACAGCTGGGATTCTAGAACATACGCACGACTTTCAGGGAAGCCTGAGTGCAGGGGTAGGTAGTGTTGGCCCATTGCTGATGTGGGGACTGTAGGAAAGGAGGAGGCCCTAGAACAGTCTGGGGCCAAGGTGGGGACAGAGGGATGTGGCCTGGGGGCCTGGGGTGGTAGGAGGGGGGGAAGGGGAAGGGCAGGTGGACAGGGGCTCAAAAGTTCAGAGAAGCTGGGCGTAGTGACTCACACCTGTAATCCCAGCACTTTTGGAGGCCGAGGTGGGAAGATCACCCGAGGTTAGGAGTTCGAGACCAACCTGGCCAATATGGTGAAACCCTGTCTCTACTAAAAATAAAAAAATTAGCCAGGCGTGGTGGCGCATGCCTGTAATCCCAGCTACTTGGGAGGCCGAGACAGGAGAATCGCCTGAACCCGAGAGGTGGAGGTTGCAGTGAGCTGAGATCGCGCCACTGCACTCCAGCGTGGGCTACAGAGCGAGACTCAATCTCAAAAAGAAAAAAAAAAAAAACAAAAAAAAAAACGTTCAGAGGAGCAGAGGGAGAGAGGATGGGAGTCCTGGGGGAGCTGGGCCGTGGGCTGAAGTCTGACATTGTTTTACCTTCTTCCAACTTAAAAAAAAAATGACCCAAAGTACAGAGACGTTAACGTCAAAAATGTCTCCCCCTTCTCTGGTTCCGAACTTTGTAACAGTGTCAAGCATGTGCCGTGTATCTTTTCAACACAATTCTTTCTACATGTGCAAATCTGTACATACGCTCACCTAAGACACCTGCAGATGGTGCCGGGGAAGCATCGTCGTTTTCTTAGGCCAGCTGCTTTTTCTTTGCATTTGACAACATGCCACCCACCTGTGTCCAAGTCAATCCACGTCAATCATCCTGTTCCTTTTAATCATTTCTATTTTACTTTATTATTATTTTAAAATGGGTTCTCGCTTTGTCTCACAGGCTGGAGTGCAGTGGTGTAATCGTAGCTCACGGCAGGAAAACAATCCTCCTGTGTCAGCCTCTGTGTGGTTGGGACTACAGGCGCACACCACCACGCTCAGTTAATTTTTAGTTTTTTTTTTTTTTTTAGAGACGGGTCTTGCTATGTTGCCCAGGCTGGAGCGCAATGGCACCATCATAGCTCACTGCAGCCTTGAACTCAGGCTCAAGGAATCCTTCCACCTCTCAGAGGACTGGGATGAGCCACTGAGCCTGGCCCTTGCCCCCATGTTCCCCAGTGGTGGTCTGTAGAGGGAGTGGCCAGTGCAGCTGCTCTTTAGCCTAGCTGTTCATTTTCAGGACACACTGGTGAGCGAGGACTTCGATGGCTTGAAGACAGAGTACTAGTCTTTTTAAAAAAAATTATGTTTTAAATGTATTTTATTATTATATATTTTTTGAGGCAGAGTCTCACTCTGTCACTCAGGCTGGAGCAGCCTCTGTCTCCCGGGTTCAAGTGATTCTCCTGCCTCAGCCTCCCAAGTAGCTGGGACTACAGGCATGTGCCACCACACCCTGTTAATTTTTGTACTTTTAGTGGAGATGGGGTTTCTCCAGGTTGACCAGGCTGGTCTCAAACTCCTGACCTCAGGTGATTTACCTGCATTTGCCTCCCAAAGTGCTGGGATTGCAGGCGTGAGCCACAGCGCCCAGACTTTTTTTTTTTTTAATTTTAATAGCGTGTCTGGACCAGGGGTTCTCAGCCATTGTTGCTGATCAAGCCATTGTTCCTGGGCAAGGGCAAAGCCTGGGCTCTGGGACACAGGTGGACCCCGAGTCTGTCTTTGGATGTGTCCGGGGTTGGGAGCTGGAACCCCTGTGAGAAAAGGAAGCCTTGTAGGAAGAGATGGCCCTTCTCAACCCAAGCCCAAGACCCGTGGAGAAGATCCGGGCTTGGGGACAGATGCTTGGGTTCTGTGCCTCTGCCTCCGCCCTGCCTTGGTCACTGGGCGTGACACTGGATGAAGCTCTCTTTGCCCACCCTGGGCTTTGGTTTCCATGTCTGTGCAGTGTGGGCTGGGTGGAGTGATCCCTGATAAGGGAGTCAGCATTTGATGTGTTTTTTTTGTTTTCTGAGACAGGGTCTCCCTGTTGCTCAGGCTGGAGTGTGGTGGCGTGATAGCTCACTGCAGCCTCTGCCTCCCAGGTTCAAACGATTCTTGTGCCTCAATCTCCCGAGTAGCTGGGACTACAGGTATCCACCACCATGCCCAGCTAATTTTTGTATTTTTAGTAGGGACAGGGTTTTGCCATGTTGGCCAGGCTGGTCTCGAACTCCTGACCTCAAGCGATTCTCTTGCTTTGGCCTCGCAAGGTGCTGGGATTAGAGGTGTGAGCCACCATGCCTGGCCAGGAGTCAGCATTTGGGATTCCTTGATGCCAGGCCTTGTTCCTGAATGCCCAGGTGGGAGGTGCGGTGGGGCAGAAGGAGGGGGCCCCTGTCTATGCGGCCTAGCCAATAAGGCCCTACTCTGGCTGACTTCTGGCTCTCCGAATTCCCCATCCTGGAGTTATTGCTGCTTTTGCAAAGTCTCTTCTAGGACTTGAAGTATTCCTGGACTTCCAAGGTCCCTGGCATCCTGGGAGAAGGGAGAAGGGCAGAGTCTGCCCCGGCTGCCACTCACAACGGCGGACATAGCAGAGGCCTTGGGGTCAGAGAGCCTCGGGCTTGGATTCTGGATGCACAGCCTCTCGGCTGTGTAATGTTGGGCAAGTTCCTGAACCCTGAGAGCCTCAGTTTCCCCTCCTGGGATGAGGGCATAATCACAGCATGCCAGATGTCACAGGGCTGTGGCCTGGTCTATGCACGTGCAATCCCCACTCAGGGCTGGCATGGGAGGGACCCCGATCCCCGTCTCCCAGGCCTGTCGCCTTCCCGGGGGGCGGCCGCTTCTGAGGCCTGGGATGGGAGCAGTCAGTGCAT